AAAAACCTACCAACAAAGAAAAGTCCAGGTCCTAAAAGACTCACAGCTGAATTCTGCCAGTAATTTAGGGAGAATCTAATGCCAGCACTTCTCAAACAGTTTAATGAAATTGAAATGGAAGCAATTCTCCCAAATTCATTCAAAGAGCAAAGTATTACTCTGATACCAAAACCACAGAAGGACCCAAACAAAAAAAGAGAACTAAAAGCCAATCTTTCTAATGAACATAAATGCAAAAATCCTCAATAAAATACTAGCAAACAGAATGCAAAAATCCTCAAGAATATTATACATAACAACCAAGTAGGATTCATCCTTGGAATGCAGGGATGGTTTAATATTCACAAAACCATAAATGTAATACACCATATCAACAGAGCTAAGGACAAAACTCACACAATCCTCTCAATAGGTACAGAAAAAGTTTTTGACAAAGCCTACACTGAATCATGGTAAAGAAAAACACTGCAGAAAATCAGAATAGATGGTCTTTATTTCAACCTGATAAAAGCCATGTACAACAAACCAACAGTCAACATCACATTTAATGGACAACATTTGAAAGAAGCCTTCACTTTAAAATCAGGAACAAGACAAGGATGCCCTCTATCACCACCTTCTTGTTCAATATAATGCTGGAAACATTTGCCAGAGCAATTAGACAAGAGAAAAAATAAAAGGAATAATAATTGGAAAGGAAAAAGTGAAATTATTATTTGTACATGACATGATACTCTACATAGAAGACCCCAAAAACTCCATTAAGAGATTTGTAGATTTAATATCCAAATTTAGTTGTATAGCAGGATAGAAATTCAAAACTCAAAAATCAATACATTTCTATACACAGACAATGAACATACTAAGAGAGAAATTATGGAAACCATGCCTTTCACAACAACACCCAAAAAAAAAGAAATATGTAGGATCCAATCTCACAAAGGAAGTAAAAGATTTATACAGTGAAAATTATGGTACTCTGAAAAAAAGAGATTGGGCCAGCGAGATAGCTTGGTGGACGAAGCACCTTCTTAGGCAAGTGCAGGGACCAGGATTCAATCCTCAGTACCACATGCTGCAGTGGTACCACCTCCAGATGTGCTGAGCTGGCCACCAAGTCCTGGCATGAGACTGCACACCTCTAATCCCAGCACTGGGGAGGCTGGAACAGGAGGATCATTACAAGTCTGAGCTGCATAGTGGGACCCTGTATCAAATATATATTTTTTAAAGTTAAAAATAAATAAATAAATCAAATGTTCAACATCATTGGTCATTCAGTCAATGCAAATTAAAACAATGCTGAGATACCATCTCATGCCAGAAAGAATGGCTATCATCAAGAAATCAAGGGTCATCCAAGTAGCTCAGTAGATTAAAGTGCCTGCAAGCAGGCACAAGGGGCCAGGGATTCCATCCCTGGGGCTACTTGCTGGCCCCAACCCCAGGGCACGCTGAGACAACAATTGAGAGTGGGCGTAGTGGCGTGCACCTGTAATCCCAGCTCTTGGGAAGCTGTAAACAGGTGGATCACTATGAGTCTGATCTAGTAGTAAGACCC